CCAAATTTCAAGCAATTGCAGGAATAAAACTATAAAAATCAGAGAGGTATTTAATGAAATTCAGACAAAAAAATCAATAAAGTATCATGAATTAAAGGGCTAGTTCTTCAAAAGAATAAAAAAAAATAGACAAACCCTTAACCAACCTTGTGAAAAGAAGCACAAAGCACTCACAGAAATGCAATTAGAAACAGAACAAAGCCAAAATCACAATGGACAGCACTGAAATTATTAGTAACTACTTCAAAATTTTACAGTCTAATATTTGAAGAATTCAAGACAATTCACAGATTCCTAGATATATATGTGTTACCAAAACTGAATCAAGAAGATCCAAAAATTGTGTGAGTCCAATAAGAGGCAGTGAAATCAAGGCAATAGCAATGAAATAAAACCTGCCTATCAAATAAGAGAAGCTCAAGACTTAATGAACTCATCACTGAATTCTACAAGAACTTTTGGGAAGACATAACGCCAATAGCCTCAAGCTCCATAATGAAATTTGAGGGGAGAAGTAAACCCAAAATCACTCCCAAAAGTAACACTCATTATCCTGATTCCAAGGCCTCACAAGGATGCAACTAAAAACAAAATTTGGGCCAAAAGTCTCTTCAATTAAGATTGATATAAAAATCCTAGCAAGATACTGACAAAGAGAGTGCCACAAATCATTGAAAAGTTATACACAAGGACCAAGGAGGCTTCATTGCAGAGATGCAAAAATGATTCAAGATACACAAATCAAAAGCCCTGTAGAAAATACGTATGGAATGCTTGAACAAAAGCCAATTCTGAAAAACCTGCCATCACATTAAAGGAGGGGGAGCACAAAGCCTTTCCCCTAAAATTAGGAACACGGCAAGGACTTGCACTATCACCACTATTGTTCAACATAGTACTTAAAACTTTCCCCAGAGCAACCAGACAAGAGAAAGCAATAAAAAGGATGAGTATAAGAAAGGAAGAGGTCAAATTACCTTAGCCACCTATGATGTGATCCTTACATAGAAGACAAAAAATTCCATGGAAAGACTACTAGAACTAATAAAAAATTCAGCAAGTTATCAGGACAAATTCAATGTCTGTTTCAGTAATGAACCCAGAAAGAAAGGAATTCAGGAAAAATAATAGTTTCAACAAAAATTAAAGGCCTAAAAACATACCAAAAGCATTTCTCACCATTTGAGAATAAAACAACCCTAAAATTCAAATGGAACCAGAGAAGAGCCACAATAGCAAAGAAACCCTTGGCAACAATCCTAAAGCAATAGGCATCACAATCCTGAATTTCAAGTTACAAAGCTAGAGTGATTAAAAAAAAAAAAAAAAAAAACATAGTATTGCCGCAAAAAACATATATTTGGATCAACGGAACAGAGCAGAAGAGGCAGAAACAACCCCAGGCACATTCAGTATGTGACCCTTGACCAAGCAGTCAAAACACACTGAAGGAAAGGTAGCCCATTTCACAAATCATGCTGCGAAAACTATGCACATGTGGAAGATTAAATCTAGACCCATATCTCTCACCATGTAGTACATTAAAATTAAAATAGATCAAATGCCTATATATTAAATCAGAAACATTTAATCTGGTGGAAAATAGGCAAAACTCTCAACAGCATAAGCATTGGGAAATTCTTTCTAAACAGAATCCCAATTGCACAAGAAATACCAACACTAACCTACAAAGCAGGTTATATTGACTTAAAAAGCTTCTGCACAGCAAAGGAAACAACCAATAGAATGAACAGACAACTTACAGAATGGAAAAAATGTGTACCAGCTATTCCATGGACAGAAAGCTAATATCAGGAATATATAAAGAAATAAAAAATTAAAATAAAAGACCTATTCAAAAAATGAATAAACACATTTCAAAAAAACAGTACAAACAGCCAATAAAAACATTAGAAACATGTTCAGCATCTCCAACCACTGGAGAAATATGAGTTAAAACAATACTGAGATTTAATCTTACTCCAGAAAGAATGTCTCTCATCAAGAAATTTAATTATAACACAGGCTGGTAGGGCTGCACAGAAAAGGAATACTTTTAAATTGTTGGTTGGGATATAAATTAATGCAACCACTATTCAAATCAGTGTAAAGAGTCCTCAAAAAACTAAAACTAGGAATTCTATTCAACCCAGTTATTTCACCTCTAGTGGTCTTCCAGAAAGACTTAAAGATATCATATTACAGTGATCCATGTGCAGGCATGTTTTTAGCAGCACAACTCATACTAGCTCAATCTTGGAAGTGGCCTGTAGGTCCATCAATAATTGAATGGATGAAGAAAATGTAGCATTTCTACACAATTGAATATTACTGTGTCAAGGAGAAGATAAGTTCAAGGTATTTGTAGGAAAACAGATGCACCCTGTTACCATAACATTAGCAAAGCAATCACACAAGCTTAAATACGACCTCTTTTCTTTTACATTACAAATCCAGTTTATAAATAATTTAAAGAACAAAATAAAAGACAGATAAGAGGAAACAGGAAGGGCAATATTTTGCAAAAGAAAAGGGAACCAAGAGATGGAAGGAGGAGAAGTGTAGGGAAAGGAAGAGGCAGGAAAAGATCAAGATGTGTTACACAACTGAATGTAATCACTATGCCCTGGAAACGTGTACAATAAAAATTTTTAAAAGTAAAAAATGTGCCCCAATTAGAAATCTTAAAAGAGAGAGAGACTACATGTCAATCATACTACATGACTAGCACTCTCACTAGAGGGTTAATACATAATCTATAAGGAGTTCAAATAAACATTACTGAAATAGATAAAGTAATAAATCAACTAATTGTGCAGCACTGTAAGTATAACTGTAGAAAATATCACATACTCACAGAACGGAATACCATTCAGGCATTAAGAGGAATAAAGCCCTGTCATTTACAACGTCATGGATGAACCTGGAGGGCGTTGTGCTAAGTGAATTAAACCAGACATAGAACCACAACTACTGCATGAACTCACTGACTTGGAACCTAGGAAAAGTCAAACTCATAGAAATGGAGAAGTACATGGAAGTTGCTACAGGTTGAGAGGAGAAGACAAGTGGGAGGTGTATTAGTTACTTTTCTCATTGCTGAGCCATAATAGTCAACACCCAAAGTTAGGGGAGGAAAGGTTTATTTAGCTCACAGTTTGTGGAGGTTTCAGTTCATAATCCACTGGCTCCAAGGCAGGGTGGTTTGCAGAGGGCCACAGTTAATGGTGGTGGAAGATAGCAAAATCAATAAGAGGAGAGAAGACTCTTTCTGCCCCTTACATTGTATGAAGGCTACCAGCCCTAGGGCAGGTGTAGCACTCACACCCTTAATCCCAGCTAAAAGTATGCAAATCAATCAGTGGCCTGATTTACTAATCATGTACTCTTAATCCTTTCTCGGAATAACTCTTGATCAAGTCTCTTGCAACCTTGGGCTGCCAAGATGTCCAATAAATTTTACCTTCTGAGGACCCTTAAAGTTACATAGAGATGCACAGTCTGCTGGGCAGGCTCTGCACACTGCACCTGCAAATGAAAATTGCACATCATCATGACCTCCCTGTGTACAAAACTGCCAACTGCATTGCCCTCTCAAAGAAGAGCTTATCAGGGAAACAGATCTTCCAATAAATACCTTAGAAAGCACACTTTGCCTCCCCAGAATATACTGTGGCTCATCCTCCTTCAATGCAAATACACAACCAAGAATAACAAGACATCAGGGACTTTTGTCGTGTGATAGAGGAAGCCATGTTACACAAATACAGAATTCCTCTGACAAACAGCATCCCTAAGAAAACAATGAAATGCTCTGGGAGATCAGAGAAAAGACAGAAGAATTTAGCCTTTTCAGAATGACTGGCAATATAAAATTTTTTAATGAAACTTGTAAAATACTTTTGAGTAAGTTCCAAAGACCAAACTTTAAATAGGAAAGATGAAAAGAAAAGGAAAGATATATTCAGGATACATCCAAATGTTCTCTGATTAAAAGAAATACCAAAAGAGAGGACAGAAAAAATAGCGGAAAACATCATGCAAGAAATATTCTGAAACATAAACAAACATAATTTCTAAAGTGAAAGAGCCTATAAAATACCAAGGGGGCATTCAATGAAGAAATACAAACATGCAGATACTGTTTCATAAAATATCATAACATAAACTACAAATAGAAGATCATTAATTTTCTAGGGAGAAAGGACACATGGTGTCCTTTGCAAAAGCACATAAATCAGTCTGGCATCAGACTTTTCTACTGTAACAATGACTTCTGAAATTTCCCAAGGAAAATGATGCTGCAGTTAGAATCCGTTTGTACTGGTCAGCTAATGATGCTCAAGTTAGAATCTATACATGTTGGGCAGCTTTCCTCTTCTTGGAACCAAATACCTGGCACCCTCCTCTTTGAAGAAATGTTTAATTGACTCATGGTCTGAGGGGTATCAGGGGTATCTGGCTCCAAGGCAGAAACATCGTGGAAGAAGTGTACGGCACAGCAGAGCCGCTAAGTTCATGCAGCCAAGAAGCAGAGCAGGGCAACAGCAGCACAGAGGAAGGGACAAGGACACAGTTAAACACAAGGGACCAACAGCAGCTTGAACCTGCTCATGTTGTGGCCTCCACCAGGGCCTCTCAGCCATTGCTGCAGGAGGGAACCTACCCTGAACTGCCTGCGAGGAAGCCCTCAAAACTATCAACTCTGGAAAACACACAGACCTGACAGGAGCTATGAGGTGGGTTTCCAGGATGAGAAAAACTCAACCTGAACTGCAGAGGTAGAATGTGCCCATGGCACTTGGAGACTGCTCAGGGCAAATGACATGAAGGTTATTTACTAGAGCTTCCCTCAGGATTGTAACACCTCCTCCGGCCTGTCTGTGAAGTTGTGCAATCTTGAGTCCCTATAAATTCCACCGTGCACCAGCCTCTGCAAGCCTATGCTGGCTCGGCTTCTGAGGGAGCAGCGCTTTCTTTCCCAGATCTGGGCCAAGCCAGCTGGGGACCATGAGGACTCACTGCCTTCTGCTGATGGTGTTCTGCTTCCTTGACTTCCACATTGCCCCAGGTAAGCCTCAGGATCTGCTGAGTCACAAAGCCCCTCGGAGTGGATCCTGCATTGCCTCCATGTCTGGAGGGTTCTGCAGCAGGAGAGCATCCTCTGACTCAGTGGCCTGCAACCAGGAACATGCAGAATTGCCCAGCGGAATCCTCGGCAGTCACAGGCTGGTCAGCAGCAGGGCTCACAATGTCAGGCCCCCTTATTTGTCCTGGGCACCAAAACACACATGATGCAAGGGATTGCACCTGTCTGCAGGGAGGCTCCTCACTCTGAGAAGTCTGTTTCCCAGAGGCACTGTCCTGCTCCCAGGTGACCGGCTGGTCCCTCCTGCTGACCTGCTGCAGGCACAGAGCCACCAGCCCTCCCACAGCACCAGCTCAGCCAGGATCTGGGATTCGGCTATGTGTGGGTCTCAGAGAGCCACAGGCACTTTCCCTCTTCCTGGGAAATCCAGGCTCCTTCCCCAGGCAGGGTCCCGCGGTTCAAGGGAGGCTGATTCAGGTCCCTAGATGCCAGCTTCTCTGGGACAAAGCAGCAGTGTTCTCGATGTGAGAGAAGGTGGCCCCTGCACAGGGCACCCAGGACACATTTCCATCCCTGCTCTGTCACTCACAGTGATCCGGAGCAAGTCACATGTCTCTGAGCCTGTTTCCTCATCTGCAACAGGACAGAGCTGTGGTCAAAGCCTGACCTGGGAAACTGTCTGAAGACCCTGCTGTGCTTTGCTCTGGATATCACAGCACTCCTCAGATTTGTCTCATTGAGTCCGCATAGGCCTCCCTTTCCCATCTGAAAACTGGAGACAAACGCAGTCTAAATGAAGAGGTTTTATGCCGTCAGCTGTGACTCACTATAAAAGGAGAGAAATCCATTGCCTGAGCTGCAATGTGAGTTTTCACAGGCTGCTGTCTGCGCTCTGATGACACAGGGCCCTGTCTGCGCCTCCTGTCAGTAAGGGGCTCTCGGCTCATCTTCTAGAAAGAGCAAGAACAGAGCCACCCAGGGAAAGGCCAGGGGGCTCTGAGCAGCGGGGACCCACCAGAGCATGGCCTCTAAGGAGGTGCTGCTGCCCTGAAATCGTCCCTTGGCCCACAGGGAGGACACTGGGGCACGAGTGTTTCTTCTGGGACCTTGAGTGCTGGGCTGGGCCTTCTTCCCAGAGGAGAAAGAGCAGACTCCCCGCATGCCCTCCGTGTAAAGCCTGCAGGCTCCCCTCCGTGTGCTGGGGTTCCTGCAGGGAGCTCAGCAGTGCTCTCTGCACTTTGTAAACTAGGGTTTGGGTTTCCACAGTTGCTTTTTTATTTCTGGTAGAGCGGACACTGAAACCTCTATACATTTGTGGCATGCAGCGTCCTCCCTCCATCCTCACTCACCTCCTGTCTATGTCCTCGTCCCTTCTTACAAGCACACCACGCAGACTGGGTTAGAGCCCTGCTAATGACCTCATCTGACCTTAATTATTCTTTTCAATGTTCTCTCTTCAAATAAAATTATCCTTTTAAATGCCCAGTCGCAATCAGGACCGAGGGATGGAGGTCGACATAGTAATTTTGATGGGACACAAATCAGCCTATAACTGTCACCTGGAGGTTGGGAAAACCATGGCTTGATGGTCATTCACCAAGAATATCACAGAGCATCTTTGTTCCCTCTGCAATAGAGTAGAGAACTAGACTAGGAAACCTCAGGAATTTCTGTGATTCTGGGCGAAAGGCAGAGTGAATTCCAGCTGACAAAAGCTACAAAGCCTTTCCGGAACAGCTATAGCCTCACCCTGACAGGAAAGGATCAGACTTTCCAGCAGAATAGCGGTGTGGATGGCGGGAGAGGGGCACTCAGGTCAGAGGGACCCTGTGACAAGAGGCACTGGGGCAGCCAGTGCAGGATGTGCTCTGCAAAGAAAGCACTTCGGCGTTGGGAGAATAGAGGACACAGTTGGGAGGAAGGTGCCATGAGGTCAAAACTCCTTAACATCTCTGGGCAGAAGAAACCCCACTCAGAGCAGCGCTGTTCCTCCCTGGGACTGAGCTCCTCACAAGCTAATGTCATTTGGAGGCCAAAAGGTCGATTCTATGCGAATACTTTGAAAGAGAGAAACCCCGTCTGTCCCAACAGTTGTCCGCCTGCCTCTCCCAAACCTCGTCCCCAGAAACCAAGAGTCTGAGCTGTGCTGTTCCCTCCCGCAGGTGCTGGCCTCCTAGCGGGCTTCAACGCCAGAGCTGATCTAGGAGGCATCCCTGACACCGACAAGTGCATCAATGATGGAGGAAGTTGTGTCTACTACAACTGCCCCATCTATTCCAAGATCATTGGCTCCTGTTACGATGGGGAAGCCAAGTGCTGCGTCTGAGCCTAGAGTGATTTGGAGGGAAAATGCGGAAGCCTAGTGAAGGATTTTTAATCATTGTTTTAATAAAGATTTTTGGAAGCAATCACCTTCAGGCCAAACTAAGTATTGTGTCTCAGTTTGGAAGAGGTTAAGAAAGTGTGAGGCGGAAGTGTGGGCTTAGAATGAGACACGGGCCAGTCCACAAAGCCTGCCTGGGCCAGAGGAGCAGTGGTCACGGCTCAAGAGAAATCACACGTGTGGGTGACACAGAGGGTCCCTGTGAGATCGAGGGTACAGGCCAAGGCCAACAGAGACAGCTGCTTGGGTTACTTTTCCTTACCCGTGAGAATTTCATTTGTAACTATTAAAATTATCTCAAAGCATGGCCATGTCTCTCTTTGGGTCCTGCCTTACTGTTACGCTTGCAGACACCCTGGGTGGGAACAGCCGGTCACCTCTCTTTTTCCAGGAAGCCTCTTTAATACCCACAATAGTACACATGACGCTGTGGTCTGCTTAATCTGAACCAGAGACTTCACCTTCTTCTTCTGTCAGTTATATACACAGATGAAAAACACTCCTGATAAAGGCATTTGTTTTCAGCCAAAGCTGGAGTTCTTCCTCCTCACTAAGCTTCCACACTGAGCACAGACTCTGGTTAGAACCCACGTCCGTGCATTTGGGGGTGTCGTTACTGCTAGCAAGGGGGAGGTTAGGGTTTGATCTCCTCAGCTCTATGAAAAAGGTCAATCAATAATCACGCGGGTTGACCAACCTTCATGTTTTTTTCCATTATCCTGCACTCAAATATCTTTTCCCATATTCATATCCCAGATTTCATTTTTCATAAGTCAGGACAATAAAAGAGCTTTTTTGACGGAGGGTGCACTTTTTTATGGCTCACATTTTGTCCTCACATTTGGGGCCTTGAGTCTCAACATAGATCTTGAAGCACAAAGATGAGAAAGCTCCAAAGATGCTCAACAGTGACCCCCAGGGCACCTGCCTTAGGGGAGGACAATGCCATGTCCACAGTGACACGGGTGTGACAACCACAGGTGGCATGGGAAGGTTGTTCTTACTGGCAGAAAACTCTCCAGAATTCAGGGGTTCACTGGTCCTAGCTTCACCGAGTCTCCCTGCACCCCGCTATTTTCACTTTCATGATTCCATTTCTTCCAATTAACACTTTTGTTAGAAGAGTACACACTGAATTGAAGGATTCGATGTATGTTGTAATATAGCCACTTGCAGAAAAAGACCCTAGGTTTAATTTTCAGAATTCTCAGCCCGTTTAATCCTATCATACACAAAATCAACTCAAATTGCAAAAGAACTTACATGTAAAACTTAAAAATATAAAAAATACTAGAATAAAAGTGTTATAACTTTGCTTGTGTAACAGTTGCTTGGCTATGACCCCCCCAAAACACAGACAACAAAATCAGAAATAAGCAAATGATACTGTATCATATTTTAAAGCTCCTATACTTAAAAGGCATTGATAAAAATAAAAAGAAAGGCCACGGATTAAGAGAAAATATGCTCAAACTATATAATGGCTTATAGAGAGCCCTTCCCAGTCCTCGTCACAGCTCAGGAAGCTTATATTTTTATTCCATGGGAAAGTGATTGGAATTCTAGTGAGTTAATTCCGATCTATCACTTTCAGTGCAACTGATGATGGGAATAAAGACCCTAAGGCATATTTGCAGTTGTGGGGAGCCAAGGGGCCCTAAGTCCAGGTACAGTGATGGCTATCTGGAACAAAGGGCTCTACACAGGGCTGAGCCTGGGTTTTATTAATTTGTGAAGAAAGGAGTGGCTTGAGAATGCGTGACTGTGCAAATGGCGGAAAGTAGATGAGTGCTGTAAGCTGCACTACTTAGGTCTGAAATCACCCCTGCAATATGCAGAGAGAAGGATACGCAGAAAAAGTAATTTGCTTGACATAGTTGAGGTAGTATCTGTTGTTTCAGGGTCAGTACTTTAGCTCTGATGTGTAACCTTTTATGCCTGGGAAGTCATGGCCTCTTATCTTGAGGCTCCATCCCAGTTGACGGCATGGAGCATGGTTCTCCATCCCACCCAGGCTCACATGTGTTTTATTTGGGAGCTACAGGGGCTGGGAAACACTGCCCTGTCACCTTGCTTCAAAGACTATGCATCAGCACCTCAGCTGGATCAATTTGCTTTACTTAAAGCCAATTGATGGGATAAGGAAAAGTCCTAGCTAGCTCTGCACACATCAATACATGGAAATAGGGCCAGGTTTAGTCAAAATGGATATAATTGCTCTTCTTTCAAAGAGAGTCATTCAAATGGTCCTCCACAACATCTTGTCTTGGTTAGTTTGTCTTGATTAAAATCCCAATGCCCAAAGTTAAAGTTAAAGAAGAAAAGGTTTATTTGGCTCACAATTAGTAGCTGTTGCAGTCCATGCTTGGCTAGATCCAAAGTAGGGTGGCTGGCAGAGGAGAAACAGTCCATGGCAGGGCAGGCAGGAGGCAGCAAGCAGCAAGCCTCAGCAGCTAGCAACAAGTGACTCTGTCTGTCCCTATGTCCTATCCAGGCTACCCACCCTTAGGGCAGGTAACACTCACACCCAGGGAGGCAGCTTTAATTCTAGCATCGCACCATGAAATCAGTGCATCATCACATCTTTGATCCCAGCATCACACATCCTTGATCCAGCCACTTCTTAAATCTCCACCTATGACCACATGAGGCTTTGGGGGGACATGTAGACACAAGCCATACCAAGGCTTAATATTCAAAATAAACAAGAAACTAAAACACCTTAACAGCAAAACCATAATCCAAGTCACACAGGCAAAATTTGTCAAAAGACATTCTCATCCCACTACAGAAATTGGTGTGGACGCTTCTCAAGAAACTAAAAATAGAAATTGTATTTGATCCAGCTATTCCATTCCTTGGTATCTTCCCACAAGAGCAAAAGTCACACCACTACATTGATACACGCTTGCGTAACAGCATAATAGTTAGATCATGGAAGTGGCCTATATATCCATCAGTAGGTGAATGGATAAAGAAGACGTGGTACGTATACACAATGCAGTACTACTCCACCACAAAGCAACATAAATTTGAGTCATTTGTAGGAAATGCATGGATCTTGAGTCCATGATGCTAATGAAATAAGTCAGTCACAAAAGTTTAAATATTATATAGTCTCTGTAATAGGAGACATGCAAAATATAAACAATCACAAAACACAGTAAAGGGCCATGTTCAGAACAAGGGAGGTAGATTCTGTAGATGGTAAGAGGATCTGAGTAAGGAGGGAGAGGAAATGACAGGGCACAGGCAAGGGAAATAAAAATGGTGAAGGTGCAATGTGCATACGTATCAAACCCCCCAGTGGAGGATAAGCGCTATGCAGTGCAAGCATGCGCTAATAGAAAAGAACAATACCATGGTGCTGATCACCTAGAACCTGCCCTATGAGTATTTAAAAGAGTGTCCAATGGTGACATTGGCTATACGCTAGAGCAGTGAGGGTGCACCTATGGCACTCACACTACCACAGGCTGTTGATTGTCATTGAGAGCTCTAAAAGGTTTGTCATCATTCTCCTGCCTACCAGAAATAGACCCATAAGTGTCTCAGAATTAATACATTTGTAGACCCTGTTCCAGTAACTCTGAAACAACTGAGAAAATTCAAATTTAGGATTCTGTTCATCTAGAACTACATCACCTTCAGTAGCAAAGTCCATACTAGAAAGAGTTCTTCCAAGAAACAGAACCTGTGCAGAGGGACTTTCTGTAATAATCAGCTCACACGGATAGGAAGGCTTGGTGAGCTAAAATCTGATGGGGGAAGATGGCCGGGTGGAGGCTCAGGAAAGAACTGCAGTGTAGGTCCAAGTGTTCACTGCCAGCAGAATTTCTTCTCTCTTCAAAGCGGGTCAGTCTGAGTTTCCCTAGTTTTCAACTGATTGATTGAACTGAGTGATTGATTGATTGATAGAATGAGTTTCATTCACATAAGGGAGAGTAACTTGCTTTGTTTGAAAACTACCAATTTTAAAGGTGAGTATACCTCATTCTTTACATTTTATGATGCTTTAGTATTGTAAAAATCATAGAATCCTTCATGGGGATAGAATGCAACTTCCAGAATTAGCCAGTTCTTAGAGGTAGCACAGGGTACTTTAACAGTGTGCAGAGGACACAGGATACTTCAACACAGTATACTTCAGATGGACTTTGTCTTAAAAGTTTCAGGGCCAGAGACAAGATACAAGGGGCCACCTGGCAGACTAAAGCCACAGAAATTATCTAAACCAGCCCATGCTAAACTCTTCACCCTAGGCTGCATTTTCTGAGGAAGTACCAACAAATGTGCTGATCTCCCCATTCCCTAGCTCCCATCTCCACCTCCTGACGAGCAGGTGCTACCCATGTGGCACTGGAGGTCTGCCAGGCCTGACTCTGGGACCCATGAGGATTATAAAGTTTGCTTTCCTGGACTTCTGCTGGGTCCTCTTGTGGACACATGTGACTGACCATGACATAAACTCATGTAAAACAGATGTTAACCTCATCCAAGTTACCCTTTCCCAGAAATGGCCAGGATAATTTTTGAGCAAATATCTGGTGACCCTGGACAAGCCTAGGTGACAAATAAATTTAACTTTAGGAAGATCTTCAAAGATACCATAGAAGTGCATATTCTGCTGGGCAAACTCCACACACTGTACCTGAAAATGAAAATTTCTCATCATCATGACCTCCTCATCTACAAAATTGCCAACTGGTTTCGCCTTTCAGAGAAGCGTTTATCAGAGAAATAGATCTTTCTATAACACAGCTTAGGAAGTACATTCTGCCTCCCTAGAACACAGCATTCATTCTTCAGTGTAAATACACAAACAAGAATAACAAGGCATCAAGGACATTCATCATAAAATGGAGAAAGTACACAAATATAAATGGCTTGTGACAAATGGCATTGATACGACAATGATGAAATGCTCTGGGAAAAGATCAGAAGTAGAAATAATTCTTATCCATTCATGAATTATTGCCAAAAATACTTATTTAAATAAAATGAACAAGATA